TTTAAAATTATTGGTGAAATTAACTAGGATTTTTCTTAATGTCATTTTTTAATGCATGCTATAAAATATTTTAAAATAATATTTGCAATTTATATTTTAATACTTATAGTTTCTTTATAATTATTGGTAAATTTAACTAGCAATTATCTTAATGCCAGTTTTAAGTGCAACGCTATAAAACAATTAAAAAATGATATTTGTAATTTTTACAATTTTCTTTAATTAAGAATTTAACTTTATTTATTTATACTTGTAAAAATGTTTTCAAATATTTTAAACTTGCTAGAACCTACGTGAATCTAAATAAAACTTTAGTTAGCTTTTTTAAAATTTTATTTAGCTTTATACCAATTATTTTGACAACCAATGAAAAAAAGTAAAATTATTTATATAAGTTAATCTATTTTAAAAAGGACATTTTACATGAAAAAACGATCATAGTTGTACTATGAAACAACTGATGTATAGTTGCGTTAGTTGTAGTTTCTTTGTGCAGTTTCATTCAAAAATTACTAGTAAATTCCATTAATAATTAAGGTATGTTCACATCAAAAACCATATTTTTTCTAAAATTTAAATAAAAACATGCAAATTAGGAAATTAGGTCAAATTTTCATGCATAACACAGTGTCTGTAATTTAGCTTCTTTGAAATTGTTTGTAAAACTTTTCGATACCTAATGTTTTTGAGTGTAAAGCAGTTGTTCATCCCTTCATTTTTCTTCGGCTATAGTCTCTACTTCAGATTTCGCCAGAGCAGAATGAAGCACCTACTATTCCAGCATATGTTTTACATAGCGGATGCTCTTCCAGCCACAACCCAGTACTGGAAAATTCATACTTATAGTTTACTCAATTCACCTCTAACGCATGTCTTTGGACTGTAGGGGAGCACCCGGAGGAAGCCCACGCCAACACAGGGAGAACATGCAAACTCCACACAGAAATGCCAAATGACCCAGCCAAGGCTCGAACCAGCAACCTTCTCTGTGCTAACCACTGTGCTAACCACTGAGCCACCATGCCACTCCATACATAATTCAGTATCTGTAATTCAATTTATTAGAAATAGTTTGTTTCCTTATAGCAATTCTTATGTGGAAACATTTCAACAGCAAATGTTTTTGATTATAGTGTAATTTATTTATAAACTTATTTTGAAAGGATCACGTGCTTATGATTGCTTGCAGCTGGTCCCGCATTACTCAATTTATGATTGACCAATCAGACGATTCCTAAGCCACTATGAGTTCCATATCACAGCCATCTTAAGCTGCGTCCCAAATGGCACACTATACACTATGCACTCATGCACTATGTACTTATGCACTTACACACTCAACAGGATAGTATATGTATGTAGTGTCGTCCCAAATGGCACACTAATGGTTTTTTACTAAGCGGAAATTCAAACCGTTTCCCTGATGACGGTTGCCAAATAAGTGAAATAAACGACCGAATTATCAAATATTATCTGCCGTGAGTATTACCGCATTCACCATCAGGAGGCGCTATAATCACTCTCGTAGGAGAATTTTACTTTCACCATCCAAAATAAATAAAGTTATCCAACATGTGCATCCGATAGCTCCGCCCCTTCCACTACGTTAGCAAACCTGCGGTCATTGAGTGCGTAAAGTGTCCATAATTACACACTTCATTTTAGCGGCTGAATGAGAGCATCATCCGGGTAACTAAAGTTCACTTATTATTTTTAGAATTTTCAGTGTGAACGCACTACTTACACTATTTATACTACAAAATGGCGTAGAATAGTGCATAAGTATGCGATTTGGGACGCAGCTTTAGTTTTGATGAATCCCCCCTTCCACCCCTACTCCTCCTTCTTTCCTAAATGGGTGGCACGGTGGCCCAGTTGTCTTACACTGTGGCACTGTTGCCTTACAGCAAGAATGTCACTGGTTCTAGTCCTTACCAAGCCAGCTGACATTTCTGTGCAGTTTACACGCTCTCCCCATGCTCACGTGGGTTTCCCCCGGGTTCCTCCGTTTCCTCCCACCGTCCAAAAACATGTAACTTAAGTTAATTGACTAATCCAACTAATAGACATGCTCCTAGTAAGTAGTTATCTCCTAAAAGCAATCACTATCTGTTCATTAGCTACTACAGCAGGGGAGTTCTGCCTGAGCTCAAACTCCCCTCTCGCCTTGTAAACTGGAGGGAGCCCCGGGCTCGAGGATCTTATGAGCTCAGGGCTCTCTCCCAGGCATGCCAAACAAGCTTTATAATCAATCATCAGCTAAGTGTGAACTCTTGAAAAGCAACTTTTTAAAACCCAAAATAATCCACCCACAAACTTCAGAGCAATTTGATCAATGTTTTTTTTTTACTTTTCTTTTTTTAATTTTTAGCATCAACTTAAAAAAACAACAACAAAACGAATAAAACAAAAATCCAGGAGTGAAGAAAAGCATTTTTACATTTATAACAGGCATGTTTTAATACTGTTTTACAGTCAACAGAACAATGAGTCAAAACCAAAACAAAGAATAAAAATACCCTCTACACAAAGACAGCATGAGCAGAGGAATTTCATTTCCTATAATAAAAACATTGAAATGCCAAAAAAAAAAAAAAAATGGACAGAAAAACGCATAAAAAAATAAGTAAAAAGCGGTTTTCTACCTGTGAAAATCGGAGCTGCGAAAAAAACGCACACAAGCAAAAGCCAGTGCGCAGATCTGTTAAAAATGTCAGCGTAGGTTTGCGTGTCTGTCCGCAGGATGAACAAACCCTGCCATGATCGCAGTTCAATATCTACAAAATCTGCATTTGAACAACTCACTTATATACACTGTACAACAATTCATCTCAAAATTACAGCTTGTACAAAAAAACGGCATTGAGATTTACAGTGCGCTCTCAAATCATGTGTGCCTTTCCAATCCAAATCTGCTCCTCTCTCTCGGCCTTCTCTCTCTCTCCTTCTCATTTTGATTTATATTTTATTGATTTTCACTTTCTTTACATTTCCTTCCCTGCATCTTTTATTCAGTATTCTGTTTCAGGACTTGGCATTTTCCCTCTTTTCCGACTTGCTGTTATTGCTTTCGTCCTCTCCCTGCGCTTCTTTCTCTGGAGGTTTTTGTACTTCATGCTACAGGCGTGTGTCATTCTTGCATTGTAAGTGCCTGCGAAACGCACACAAAACGTTAGGATGATGTTCTGCATATGGCTTTCTGATATGCAATCGAGAATAATCATTAAAAGAGGCAGACATAACGTACAGAAGAGCATTTGCCCACGTTCCATTAAAACACTCACGCGCTTCACCTAAATAGTGCTACTGAGGATCTGGCTAATGCTTCACACAAATGAAGACGCCGCTGCCAGTCCTGAGCTTTAAGCGTGACGTGGAAAAACGATTTCAGGCTTGGCCGAAGTAAATATGAACATATTGTCCATCGATTTAGTGCACCAAAAAAAAAAAAAAATGTATTAACAATAAAATTGGGAAGATAACACCATAAAACGTGTGCTTTTTTTTTTGGACTGTTTATACAAAGTGATTCATATTCATGTCCACCTGTGCACAGACTGCAGGAGTTCTGTTCCAAAACCTAATGAGCTGCCTTCTGAGTCGACATCTGAACTCAAATGGACCCTCATAAGTGAGCGAACGAAAAGAAAAGCGACTCGGCGGAATATTAATTAGCTTAAACAGACAAACAAATAAACAACAGAAAAGATGATTGGAATTTCTCCCAACTAGTTTAAGACCAGCAAACTGCCATAAATCCTTAATATAATTCATGCGAAATGTAGAGTAAGACCGTACAATGCCATTTCTTACAATATCAGATCTTGAAGATTATTTTAGAAGAGAAAATGCTAAGCGGTAAACACTCCAACTGGTGATTGATAGTTATGTACACTCTCAGAAATAAAGGTGCGCAAGTTGTCACTGGGGTGGTACACCTTTTTAAAGGCCGGTGTCCTGTTTAGCTCCAACTCTAATCAAACACACCTGCTAATAGATTTCTAGTGATCTTGCAGACACTGATTAGCTTTTTCAGGTGTGTTTGATTAGTGTTGGAGCTCAACTGTGCAGGACACCGGCCCTCCAGGACTGAGTTTGCCCACCCCTGCTTTAGAAGAGTCAAAAACTTACGTACATCACCTTTAGGTTAAACGCTGTTTACCTTTAAAAAATGTTGTTTTGAGTTATTAAGTAAGTAATAAGTAACTTAAGTAAGTTTTGAGTAAAATTGAGCTATTAAAATAAGTTAATGCAACATAAAAATTATTTGTTGTTTTGACTTTTTAGTCATCCAATTTTTTCCAGTGTAACTTTGAATGGGGAAAATGCAGTGGTCAACATGGCTACTCTAGAAAAAGAAAGCTGTAGCTGCGTCCCAAATGGCACACTATACACTATGCACTCATGCACTATGTACTTATGCACTTACACACTTAACAGGATAGTACATGTATGTAGTGTCGTCCCAAATGGCACACTAATGTTTTTTTACTAAGCGGAAATTCAAACCGTTTCCCTGATGACGTTTGACGGTTGCCAAATCAGTGAAATAAACAACCAAATTGTCGAATAATACCTGCCGTGAGTATTGCCGCATTCACCATCGGAAGGCGCTATAATCACTCTCATAGGAGAATTTTGCTTTCACCATCCAAAATAAATTAAGTTATTCAACATGTGCGTCCGATAGCTCCGCCCCTTCTGCTATGTAAGCAAACCTGCGGTCGTTGAGTGTGTGAAGTGTCCATCATTACACACTTCATTTTAGTGGCTGAATGAGTGCATCATCCGGGTAATTAAAGTGCACTTATTATTTTTTATTTTTAAGTGTGAACACACTACTTACACTATTTATACTACAAAATGGTGTAGAATAGTGCATAAGTATGCGATTTGGGAGGCAGCTTAAGTCTTCTAGTAAAGAAGCCAATCATTGATCACTATAGACTTATGATCCTCTGTAGGAGGGGCTCGGTCAGGGTGTGCTTTTTTAAATTTAAACATTCTCTTTATTGTATTTTTACATCAGTACAAATGATAACTTTTACATATGTGTACTTTTTTCTTCTTAAACACAAAATTGTAACATCACGTTACTATTATTTAACAGAACAAAAAAAAAAAAAAACAGAGAAATGGGGGGGGGGGGTGAAGGGGCAAAGAAAACAGAAAAAAGAAGAGAAAGGAAAAAAAATAAATGAATAAAAGAACTAAATAAGGGGGGGTATTTGAAGTGCATTTACTAGGGTTCAATCATTGCTCTCTTGTTAAAGTATTCAATAAATGGATTCCATATTACATGGAAATTCTTTGTTTTATTTTTTAGGGAAAGCCTTAGCTTCTCAAGATGCAGACAGGACATGACATCCTTTATTTGTGTGGAGCAACAAGGAGGATCTTTTCGTTTCCAGTTTAGTAGAATCAATCTACGCGCCAAAAGGGTTATAAATTTAATCACTGTACGTTGATTATTAGATTAATCTGCATCATCACTGACTCAGGGTGTGTTTTTAAGACGGTTTTTGCAGCTTCATTGTTATGAATCATCTGGGGCCTGCAAATGTGCAGGAATCTTAACGAATACTGTCCTCACAGATATGAGAAATACATTAACATGCAGCTTAAAATGTCTATTTAAAATGTCTTTTAAATTAACCAAACATACTTGAACTTTAATGTTCTCTGGTTTTGTAATCCATGTGAAATGAATGGGAGGTACAGTCTTTCAATATTTCATTATTAAGTCATTCATTATTTCATTATTTTGAAATAAATTTCTGTGTACACTTGTAAACACAGAGGTCGCTGACCTTTTCGGGAGGACATTTGGCTTCAGGATTAAGTTGAAAAATTAACGGACGTGGAATTATTCAGAGGATGATAATGTGTAACATTTAAGTTATCGATTCTTATGGTAGTTACATAGTTTGACAGGATGGCGTCTGGTTGTGTCCTTCAGAAATAGTCACAAGGTTGATGTCGTGAATTCATTCCCTTCAAGTATTTTGTCTAAATATTTTTAGAATGATTCAAATGTTTAGAAATGCAATTTAAGAGACAGTTGTTGTTGTTCAATTTCATTGGTGACTCCAAATGTGATATTTAATCGTAAGCTTGGCAAACAGTTCTAGATAAACTGACCTTTCCCCATTCAAAGAGATTCAAAGATGGCCACCGAGTGAATGACTTGCCTTCAAGGGAATTTGATAATAGGGCTCTGATATATTCTCATGTATTACAAACATCTAAATAGAGAATGAAACAGGGTTTTTAAGCTAGCTTGAGCAGACTTGAGTCACACTTGATCCCAGTTAGAGTTTGATGAAGACCAAAAATAAAATGATGCATGCATCAAACAGAGCGCTAAAGAGATGATGTGTTTTTGTAGGACATAGAGAAGCTTGGCATCATCCTTGTTCCCCTAATTAAAATGAAATAATATAGGCTTGTTTAGTTTAGGCTATTGCTGAAAATGAGATATTACCTAACATTTAAGATGCTTGCATGATTAGTGATGGTAATAGTTTTCATAAATAAACTCATGTATGAATTTTGAAGACTAACTACAATGAGAAGTAGAAAGCTAAACATACGTTTTAGCTTGCAAACTTCTAGTTTAATGTTTGTAAGTTTGTTGAAGGTGCAAATAAAACAATTATAAACACAATGAGTCTGAAAAAGCAGATTAGTTAGCGAGATAAGTTTACCTGCTCGCCATAATGACGGTTTTAGGTGACGCTCAAAGGCGCCCTCTATAGCATGGGTCTCAAACAAGATTCCTGGAGGGCCGCAGCTCTCCACAGTGTTGCTCCAACCCTGCAAATAATGGATTTGTTTAAAAGAGTCTTGAACACCTTGATTAACTTGATCAGATGTGTTTAATTAGGGTTGGAGCAAAACTGTGCAGAGCTGCGGCCCTCCAGGAATCGTGTTTAAGACCCATGTTTTACAGTAATTAAAATAATATTCACCCATTTTTAAAAACCTGACCTAAATATTTATAGTCAGCATGCTCAACATATCCGCTATAAGGGATACTTTTTTTTTAATTATACCCTTTTTTTGGTACAGATTTCGGCGAAACAAGTTAACTGCTAAAATGTCCAAATCGGAAATTTAAAAAAAATTATTTAAAATAAATAAAATGTGAAAATTAAAAATAAAAGTGGACTTTACATTGTTAAATTAGAAATAAAATAATCAAAAACTAAACAAAACGAGGTATCTTAGAAGGCAGCATGATACCGTCTAAATAGGCAGCTCACTAGGTTTTAGAGCGCATCCCGATTTCGAACACACAAAAAGGGCAGCACCAAACACATCCGGATCTGGAAGGAACGATGAAATGCACCAGGCATATTCGGAAAACACGTCTACAGATCATTGGTCTCCGCTTCTTGTTGCTTTAATCGTATGGTCCCCCGTTCATGACATCACTTCCGGCCACTTCCTGTGCTTTTATATTTGGGCTGCTCATGCATCGGGCAGCGCTGACAGTCCGCGCATCCGTCCTGCTTTATTCATACAAGCTCAGACAGATGCAAGAGTTTGTGTCTTTTACGTCAGAAAACACGTCCTGTTGACAAATCAGACCTCAGTCTGCTGCGTATGCGGATGCATGTCTTCAAAACTGTCCAGACTTCCTCCAGTCTCAGAGTCTTCGAACCCGCAGGGGGCGGAAGAAACGGAGGAGGCGGAGGAAGCGTTGACGGACAAACGCTCCTCCCTGCCAGTGAAAGTGCTAAACTCCTCCCCTGTGGAGCCGAGCGGCAGCTGATGTGGGGGCAAGTATTGGCTGGGGTGAAAATGTGGGCGGGGCTTCCGGTCGCCACTCAAAGTGCTCTCCCTGGAGACGGGTTGATTGGCAGGCGAGGTATCGAATTCCTCAGTGGGAAGGGGAGGGGGCAGCTGGTCCTGGGACATGAACTCCTCCTCCTGAGGAGGCGGGTAGTCACTGTCAATGTCAAATCCGCCCAGGTAATAGTCTGACTCTAAGGCCACGCCAACTTCAGGTGTTTCATAAGTGGGAACTTCCTCGATGTCAGGTAGGCGTGTGCTGGGCAGCCAATCAGAAGTGTCCCAATGGTACGCTGCAGAAACAGAAAGCAGGACATTAGGAATCATCGAATGGATTAAAAACTAACGGAGTCCTCTGGATGGTACGTGATGGTGCTGGGCTGCATGCTCTGTTCTGAGGGGGGTTAACAGGTTAGACCAGGGGTCACCAATCTCGGTCCTGGAGGGCCGGTGTCCCTGCAGGTTTTAGCTCCAACTTGCCTCAAAACACCTGCCTGGATGTTTCAAGTATACCAAGTAAGACCTTGATTAGCTTGTTCAGGTGTGTTTGATTAGGGTTGGAGCTAAAATCTGCAGGACACCGGACTTCTAGGAACAAGTTTGGTGACCACTGGGTTAGACATTGGTCCTGTCCCAAATGTTGCAGTTTTCACACCCATTTCTTTTCCCATTTTTGGGGGGGGGCAACATACCGTTGAAGACTTGAAAAATGATTAGCCCTTTAGTGAATTTCTTTTTAAATATTTCCCAATTGATGATTAACAGAGCAGGAAAATGTTCACTATTATATTTTGCTTTTAATATTTTATTAGATTTAGTTTGGCAGAAAATGGCTATGGTCAATATTATCAGCACCCTTAAGAAACAAGTTTTTTCGATTGGCTACAGAACAAACCACTGTTGTCTAATGACCTAGTTAACCCAATTAACCTACTTTAGTTAAGCCTTTTAATTTCACTTTAAGCTAAATACTAGTATCTTACAAAATTACAAGTAAATATTATGTGCTATCATCATGACAAAGTTAAGTCAGTTCTTATAACTATGAAAAATTGTGAATAAATGATATTGTTAATTATATGATTAAATTATTGAAAAACAATCTCTCCACTAAAAAAAAGAACACTTGGGAAATAAAAAAGTTATTAAAAAAAAAATCATAGAGGGCTAATGACTTCGTCTTCAACTGCAGACTCATTGGAAAATGTGCCAGTCTCTATAAGACAAGTATGTGAATCTAGAAAAACATCTCACTGCAGTATCCAGATGCAATGACAAAAGTGGCTTTAATTTTTTTTTTTTTTAATAAAATTCTATTTTCACAAATTCTTATTAAGGCTGCCTTTTATTTTAAATAAGGATTCCTTGCACATTACTATAGTAATCAACATTTGAAGTGAATCAAAAGTTTTTCAATAGTCCTAAGACAAGAATGGATGGTGTTCAATAGTTTTAGGACAACCCTGACCCACCTCAAATGTCGACTACTATAAATTACAACCTAACACACTGTTATCAGGACAACAATTATAGGACATTTAAATGCCAATAGGACAGACAGACAAACTGTGTTTGATTCATGGTAATAACAATTAAATCATTGTCATAACAATTACCAGATTCAACTTATGTATAAGCATCTAAATCAGAGATGTCCAAACTAGGGCCTGTGGGCCAAAGTTGGCCCTTGGTAACCTTTGATTTGGGCCACCATCCCATATGAGAAGAGAGTGAGAATAATGGGGACGGTTGTTTTATTGATGACCTACAAAAAAGCAAATACATCTTTACATTATATGTTGCAAATTAATTAAATTATATATATATATATATATATATATATATATATATATATATATATATATATATATATATATATATATATATATATATATATATAATTATATAATTTAATTATCTAATTTATATAATTTTTTTTATATATAATTAAAAAAAAATTTTTTTATAAATAGTTGTAAGTAAACCAGGGCAAAAAAAAAAAAAAAAAAAAACAGGTTCAACTTGGCTAGTGTAAAACCATTCTGTTATAAACTGAATTGTTTTTTTTATTGTAATAAATTTATTATAAATGCAAAAATCTATTCTACGTTAGTTAATATGAAGCAATGATTTCTAGTTATTTTAAATGACCCATGGCAACTTTAATATAGATTTTGGTATATTTATCTTCAGCCCACCACCCTCAATCAAGACTGTTTTTTGGCCCTTCATAAGAAAAAGTTCAGGCACCCCTGATCTAAGTGAACAAAAAGTGTGTTTTTAAAGAAAAATAATGAAATAAATATCATTACTAATTTAAAAAAAAGTTGTACTTTAAATAGCTATTATTTCCTTTATAAGTTTCTCTTGATTTATTAGATATGAGTTGAACTAAAATGTATTTTGTTTCGTTCTATAATGTTCTAATGACATTTCTTCAATGGCAGGCTTTTTTAAATAAAGATTTCAAGCATTTCCTTGCATAATACTAGCAGTCAACATTTGAAGTGGATCAAAAAAGTTTTTTAATTTGTTCTAAGACAAGAATAGATATTGTTCAATAGTTTTAGAACAACTTTTACCCACTTCAAATGTTGACTACTGTATATTATGACAACACATTGTTATCAGGACAACAATTATAGGAAATTTGATGTTTAAATGCCAATAAGATAAAAAGACAAAATGTATTTGATTCATGTTAATAACAATTAAATCAGTCATAACAAATACCAGATTTAAACTTGCTAAGTGTACTAAAAGAAAGTGTGTATACAAGTAATTGAAAGGAAGTAATTTATTAAGTATTATAAGTAATTTAAAAGAAGTTATACTTTAAACAGCTATTAATACATTTATAGCTTGATTTATTGGTTATCGGTTTGACTATAATGTAATTTCTTTTTTAATTAAAAAATTTTCTTCCAATTTTTAAATCAAAATATGATCATTTTGTGGAGAGTGTTTCTCAACCGTTTTACTAGAGGACCACCAGCACTGCATGTTTTGGATGTCTCCTTTGTCACACTCATTACAGCTATTTTAGTCTCTGCTAATGAGCTGATGATCTGAATCAGGTGTGCTTGGTTAATGTGCAGAGTTGGTGGTCCTCCAGGAACATGGTTGAGAAACACTGATTTAGTGCATTGTTTTCCCCTGATTGTATCACCAGGAGCTATAGCTATTCATTTAGTCTTGCCTGTATGTGTTTTTTGTACTATGAAAAAGCAGGTAGCTGCTGAATTGCATTTTAGGAATTAGCAAGGGACACAGTTTCACCTAAATAGTCCCTACTGAAGAATAAAAAAGCCACTTACATCTTGGATGGCCTGAGGGAGATGAGATTAACATTTTTTGACCATTAACCAATCAACAATTTTTTTTGGTCAGCTATCACTTTACACAGTTTTTGCACACATTTCCACAGGCACATTTTTTTTTACTTTCCTAATGAGTCTGCGTTGCCATTTCCAATTCAATTTCAGCGGGACTCGAGACAGGAACATTATACTGAACATCTCCACATGCAGGATCTCTCTGGAGTGAGTGAACATGCCTGAAAGCTGATTCGAAGTCAAAGGTCAGAGGTCAGTCGACAAGCCAAACGCATTCACCGAAAAAAAAAGCAAACCAAAAACAAATGAGTGCGAGGACCGCATGCAGCAATGCATGAAACACAGAAGCGCAGGGACACACACATACGCACACACACAAACAGACGCACTGTACATGGCCTAATCCTCGCTATCAGAAAACATCAATATCAAACCAAAGGAAAGCACAAAGTCAGCAATGCGGGGGAAGAGACAGACGAAAGAGAGAGGAAAGAGGTGACGGAGGACTGCAGGTACTGATGTGTGTGTGTGTGTGTGTTGGGCAGAGCTTTTGCCGCTGGATGATGTGACATTTCCCAGAATGCAATAGCTCCGTTTGTCAGCAATACGGAAAGGGAGAGAGAGAGGGGGAGAGAGGAATAGACAGAACAAAGTGTGGAGAGGAAGGAGGGCAAGAACTCTGGGAGATTTAGCTGAACAAAGCAGGAGGAAAGAGAGAACGTGAATCACCTCTGTTGAAGTTTTGACCTTGATCCATAACGGACACTGGCAGGCGGAAAACAGCAGACAGACAGAGAGAGAGAGAGAGAGAGAGAGAGGGAGAGAGATTTGTGGGTCAGCAACAAACCCATCTTACACCCTCAAGTGTGTTTGTGTGTGAGTGAGTGTGAGAGAAAACACCTTAATCGAATGCATTAACACTGCCTGTAGATCTTTAAATCCAACCAAATTGATGAAGAAATCGAACTATTTTATTCATTCATATTAAAACGGATGATGGAGACTCGTCCCCAAAGCTGTCATACTAACATGTATGAATGATTGCATGATTCAGGATCTGAAAAGCTACTCATCGATGAATTTGCTCTTCAGTGTTTGGACTCTCAGTAATGATTTCAAATCACACTGAACTGAGCTAAACTGAACTGAACTTAAACACTAAAAACTGAACTACCCTGATCCAGTTACTATGACCATTTATGTGAAGCTGCTTTGACACAATCTACATTGTAAAAGCGCTATACAAATAAAGCTGAATTGAATTGAATATGAATGAGACCGTACACATGACGATGAATCAGACACTAAATCAAAAAAGTTACAAAGTGCTGTGAGTTTGTGTTCATTTATGAGGACAAAAGTGAATATTTTAGTGCTGTTTTCTGTAGTTTGAATACCCAACACCTTTAAAAAATGTGTGTTGTGATTGTACAATTTAATACAAATTAGACACTCAATAAAAATGTTACAAAGTGGTTTATGATGACAATAAGTAAAGTTTTTAGTGCTGTTTTCTATGTTTGAATAACTAAAACCTGTGTGTGTGAAATGATGTGTTCACACCAGACACGAAACTGCAAATAAATCGCACTATTCACACTTAAATAGAAATGTGAACATTTTGAGTTTATTCACTTCATTTGCGTATCAAATTCACTCGATTCATGTGTCAAATTCACTTCACAATAGACAAGGATTCATGGGCAGGGATTCTGTCTGCCTGGTGACTCTAGCCTCATTGAGAAATGGCTAACATGGATTTTAATGAGAGAGTAGCTGTGCTTATGGGCTTTAGAAATGCTGAAAAACAGGGTATATTCGTTCGGCGCCGTGTCTGAGCCACTAGATCCAGAGGTGCACCCAGCTCTGTAAGTTCATCAGCTTCTCCAAAAACTAAACCTGGATGATGGAAGCTTTCAGCAGTGCTTCAGACTGAGCTGAGCCCAGTTTGATCAGCTGTTGTCCGGTAAAGAGGATTTCCCCTCCAACAACAGGCACTACATCATAATCACGGCCCTAGAAGAGCAAGCTTATGATTGGTCAATGCGGCACAAATGTCTGCTGAAGTTCAGATTTTCCAATTCGATTTGCAGCGCCTCATTCGTGCAAAACGTGCTGCAGGATGTCTATTCGCATCTTTCCATTGACTTAACATGTGAATCATTTGCGATTGACGCTTCATCCTTGTCTGGTGTGAACGCAGCATGAGGAAACCACACTCAAATGTATTTATATTGCATGTTGAGGTTATCCAGCCCGATCTCACACGGCAACCGTAAAGGTCCCTGAAGCTGCGGACACACTGCAATTTTTCCCCCCCCATAGACTTCCATTTATAGGCACGCAAATGCGTCAGACCGGAAACGCAAGCTCGTGTGACAAGTTTTGCAGTTCGCTGTGTTGGAAAGTTCAAGGCTGTTAAACTCTGACCTGATAAATTGCATCACATGATTGCGTGAGACCAATCGAGGATCAAAACATGACCTCTCTGAACAGAAATTTAAAACATGGAGCAATCGCTTGCTTTTTTTAATGTCTAATGATCTTGTTCAATCCCGCCACTTTTCGCAGCACCACACAACAGAATTCCGATTGGAAAAACACTAGTGTGACCGCAGCATAACTTGTATAAATGAGATTGTTAGCTATTAAATCAAAAAAAGTTACAAACTGCTATGAAACAGCGTTGTTTTATGGTGGCAAAAGTGTCTAATGTGTGTCCTCAAACCCCACTCCTAACCCTACCCTCATTGGGTATGAGTAAATTCTGCTAAAATGTATGAAAGGGATTGTAAACTAACATGAATTAGCCACTAAATCAAAAAGTTATGAACTGCCATGAGACGGCATTGAATTAGGATGGCAAAAGGTTTTAGTGCTGTTCTCTATATTTGAGTACCTAAAACCTTAAAAAATGTGTGTGTATGTGTTTGTCAAAAAACCATACTCAAATGCATTTACACTGCATGTAAATGTGTTTATTCATCCCAATAGAACTATTTTGTCTAAAAGGTCGCTAGTTTATATAAATTCATGCAATATAATTAATGAAAACTTAATATTTTTAAAAGAAGTGTACTAAAATAAAATAAAAATAAAAACTAAATGTACTAAAATGTATGAATGAGATCATAAATATTGATATAAATTAGTATAGAATAGTAAATCAAAAAGTTACAAACTGCTGTGAGTTTGCGTTAGTTTATGATGGCAACAAATGAGATTTTAGTGCTGTTTTCTGTTTAACATCTTCAAAATAATAATAATAAATACATCTATCAATAAGTCAAGATCCATTCATTGAAGTCTTGTTTTCTGGAAAAATGCATCACAATTAAGTGTTTTTTAGCTTAAAATATTTGTATATACCACTGGGTTCAGAAATGTTGGCAAATTTTCCTTGTTTTAAGCATACACTTGCTTTATTGTGGTAACATACACATTTATCTGACAAGCAAAATTGTTTAAGAAGTGTAGTTTTCTGAATAAATCAGTCTAAATTAAGTTAGTTTAAGCTAAATAAAAAAAATATATATATGTAGATATACCCTGAGAGTCAGATTCAAAAAGACTAATTTTTGACCTTATTAGAAGACTTTAGAAGCCATTGTCCCCCTCACATTTTAATCATAAACTCACTTATTTATGAAACTTTTACTTCAATAGATACATTTATTTCAATATTAAAAACAAAAAAGCATCAAAAATAAGCACATTTATGCTGAAAACATGCTGAAATATTTGCCACTGGGGTCAGAAAAGCCCTCATCATTTTTAATTTTCAAAAATAAAACTTTTCTTTACTTATTGAAAGACACTTGGCACATTTTATTTCTAGTTTTAAAGCTAAACTTACTTAATTATGATGCATTACTTTCAAAAAACAAAATTTTGTTTTTATTTACATAATCATTTTGTTTCCTATGTAAATACAGAATGATTTAAGACATTTTTAAAACATTTATACTAAAAAAAACGATACAATATTGTATTTCTAGTGTCTCAGTGAAATCATCTACTGTACTGTATATCCTACCTATACAACACGTGCATATATTTTTGTATTGGTCAATAGGTGCATGTGATACTACAGCAAAATATGATAGTTACTGCAGATTTCTGCTACTAAACACAAATAAATATACAATAAATGCAATACAATCAGTAAAACGTAACATTTTTGGAGCTCTGCGTAACTATTCTGTATTTATTTGTCTTGTTGTAATTTCTTTCTTGAAAAAAAAAAACTTTTTGCATTGTGTTTGTCATGTGGTCAAGCATAGCTATTGTGTATAAAATAATAATCCTAATTGCACAGCGCATTGAGGATTCAATTAAACTGCTTCATATTTAGGATTAAAGCAGAACAAACCAAATGTGAATATTGTGAGTAATATTCAGAATAACAGTAATTGCAGTAACTAGTATATTAGGGAAATTATGTTTGCCTCTCAAATATTTGAAGCACGTTTAAAACAGGAAAAGAAGAGAAAGGTAGTGTGTGTGTGTGTGTGCAGTCTATTTCAGCTTATTAAAGAACCTGTGTTTGATCTTCATCTGTGTGTGTGTGTGTGTTTGATCGACTGATGAAGTTAAGACTCAAATGTCATTTAAATGTGGACCGACTAAAGTGAGTTTGTAATCCAATATTGAGGAGACACTTGGGAACCAAGAAAATGTCCCCACAAGGTTAAAATGTGGTACTTTTGTTACTGGCAACATTAAAAATACAAGATACAATACATACATGCACAAACAAGCAGCGCACCATTTGGAGCAATCCAAGCTAATCTAATCAGCAAATGAGGTTATTTTTGTATCAACGTAACAGTGAAACCTTCGGGACTAAAAATAAATACAAAATCACATAATAGATATTGCATATCCACTGAAACATATGTAAAACAATCATTATTTAAAATAAAAAAATTAAGCTGAAGCTAGCAAGCTGGCTAAATGTATATATAAGTTAAATACATTTTAGCAGCAGAGGTGTCATTTATAAGCTGTTGTTTACCTTTAAACAAGTGTTGTTATTGTTAAACTATGAAAAAGTATACAATAATTTAAATAGATAACAATAAAATATAAATACTATAATATTATTTACCAAAAATATATATTTAAGTACACATAACTGTGCAGAATAGGGCTAAATAAATGAGCAGTATGCTTACGCTAATGCTAATGCTAACAGATGTCTTTGTTTAGCTTTTTATATTAGCCATTTAGCTGATAGCAGCTCATGAAACAAATGATTACCATTAAAAATATAGCTGCACATGTGGTCAAATGCAGGAAAGTGTTTGTGAAATGTGGAAGTATGAACTAGTTTTGCAACTAGTGGAGAACTTTGCAGATTCAGAAGTTTGTTGGATTTACAAACTCTAAATCAAAGACAAGCAGAAACGCTCAAACAAGCTCATCAGCCTACATTACTTTAACATGTTGAGCTTTGAAGAGACACTTGAAAAGAGTTTTTTTTAACTACTTCAAACGTGTGTGTGTGTGTGTTTGTGGGATCTTCTTGTGTTTGCGAGACCAGCTTATGCTCTGGGTAATACATAATCTGTGTGTGTTTGTTAGTGAAACATCTGATGTCTGTCATTTGTGTGATTCTGATATTTCTCCTAGCGAACTGTGTTGTCTTATTCATGCACACACACACACACACACACACAAGAGCACAAACACACACGATATTTTTGATATAATCTTTAGTGTATCAATTTAAAGGGAAAAGGGAAAAACTAGAAATTCATAACATTTTCAGAAATTAAAATGCTTTATATATATATATATATATATATATATATATATATATATATATATATAATTACAAGGAATATTATATTTTTAAGATTTATTTTAAGTCTGGGGTTAAAGATGACCACAGGATGGCAACAGAGATCACACAATAAGACCTTAAGGGAGATAGACAGCTTTTCTCAGTATAAGATTTAAACTATATCTGATCTAATTATTATAAAACAGGTAAGTGACATTCTAAGTCAATCTGCTGTAACAATACCATAATAATCTGGTAGTGTTTGCTTTGCTTTGTTAATTATTGTGATCTCCCAATTGCAACAGAGAAATACTGGGAAATCTTAGTAGACTGATGGCATTTCATGCCGTTCAGCCTTATAATCTTAAAATGTGAGCAAAACAACCTGTTTTATCTTGATTTTAGACAATACAATAAAGAATCATTCAAACACTAGCTCTAAAGTGACGTTTGTGAATGAGCAACAGCTTCTGCTGTTTTGATGGTCAGCTGCAGATGTGTAAGTACAGCGAAGAAAGTAGTTCCTCTTACAAAAGGGTTTTTAGACTCTCTGTGTTTGATTTTCTTTTTTATATACACAATTATGCCGTTAAACTGTTGTATAAATGCAATATCACTCTCGTAGCAGTGCAATATGGCTGTTTATCAGCACTTGTGGGACATTAAGGCAATCAACCTGCGGTCTAGAGCCAAAGTTTACTAAATTATTTAAAATAAAATATAAATATTAGAGTAAATATATTTATAAGAAGTTCTCTTTTGAGGAATAAAGGTTGAGTTAATTTAATGATAGTTCATATTAAAACAAGGCCTGTGAATATAACATGAGTAATATATGAAAAATGTAAATTAATATAAACATAAAAAGAGAAATGTTGAAATAACTTAGATGAATTGAAAGCGGAAATATTAAAATTAATAATATAAAAAAGTTTAATTTATATAAAATTAATATAAAAAATTAATATAAAAGTTTAAACTAAATCAAAACAAAAAAATCTCCTATATCAAAGCAAACTAAATTTTTTTAAATAAAATATAAATATTAGATTATATATATTTTAAGTCCAAAATGTTTTCTTTTGAGGGATTTAGTGTGGGTTAATTTAATAATAGTTTATATCAAAACAAGGTCTGTGAATATAACATAAATATTAAATGAATAATGTTAATTAATATGAGCATAAATTGAGAAATGTTGAGATAACTGACATACATTGTAAGCGGAGACCTTAAAATTAATAACATTAAAACAAACCAGTTTAATCATTATCCAAACCAAAAGAAATGTATAAAAGTATACTAAACTATTTGAAATAAAATATAAATATTAGATTAAATATCTTTTAAAAAAAAACATCTAAAAAGTTTTCTTTTAAGGAATAAAGTTTGAGTTAATTTAATAATAGTTTATATTAAAACAAGGTCTGTGAATATAACATGAGTAATAGATGAAAAATGTTAATTAATTTGAACATAAAATGAGAAATGTTAAAATAACTGAGATAAATTGTAAGTGGAGACTTTAAAATTAATAATATTAAAACTGTTTCATTAATAACTAAAACACAAAAATCACCTATATATAAAATTAAATTAAATAATTTGAAATTAAATAGAAATATTACATTAAATATATTTTTAAAAAGTCCAAAAAGTTTTCTGTTGAGGGATTTAGTGTGGGTTAAGTCAATGCTAGTTTAAATTAAAACAAGGTCTGTGAAAATAACATAAATATCAGATGAAAAATGTGAATTGAAATTAACAACAAATCAGAAATGTGAAATAACTAAGATAAATTGTAAGCGGAGACATTAAAATTAATAATATTAAAACAAATCAGTTCAATTACTACCTAAAACAAACAAAAAAACTATATAAAAGTATACTAAATTTTCTTTTGATGGATTGGGTGTGGGTAAATTTAATAATAATTTATATTTAAACAAGGTCTGTGAATATAAAGTACGTCTGAATTATAATAAAACATTCAACAATATTAAAAAAACATGTAAATGTGAAATGGATGGAAAATAACATTTGAGTTTTCTATACTTCAGGGCTTTTCACATCACAAACTGATTAGCAATTAATCAAGAATACTTTAGATGATTTATCTGCATACAATCATAATCACAGAAATACTGCTAGACAGAATAATAAACGGTCTGAGGATTTAATTTTTTGACAGATAATTTAAAATCAGCTGCATTTTAATATCTGGTCAGGCGATTATTCTTTTAATGTTTGCATAAACCCCATATTGACTTCATAAATGATAGTTGTATATGCTCAAGCATTATTTATTACAAATGTAATAATGTTCGTTTCAAATAATATCCATAATAAAACGAAAACTAATCGTGGAAGATTATAAAACATTAAACCAATATTAAATTAGGCATTAATCTGAAATAAAATTAGCATTATCTTTTACTTGAGGGCTTTCCATATCAAATATTGACATGATATTAATCATGAATACTTTAGATGATGAATCTGCATGGAATCTTATTAATTGCATTAAATATTAAACGGATCGACAGGCCTAATAAAAGTCCACATGTAGACTGCAGAGGAAATGTGCGTGTAAACAACAAACAAAGAGAGAAAGAAAGTGTGCTTTAAGATTTGTAGTGTGTCTTCAGGTGTTTTTAAAGCAGAAACGTCAGAATCCAGCGGTGGAAAAATACCTTCATTCTCAATCGTGTCGACTGCATCATTGACCAGCCGAATTACCGTCACTATGGAAGCTTGGAAAGAAAAAGCAATGAAGACCAGTCAGAAACGTTCACACACACAAGCGCACACACATATGCGCACGCACACACATACACACAGACGGCCCCTCAGACCAAAACAGAAGAATCAACTCCACAAAATCTGTAACACTATTGGTCCACTGCAGAAGCTTCTGTGGCCTGTTTGGCTGCTGATGAAATTAGCTGTGACCAATGACAGGCAAGCATGACTTCATTCCAGCGAATCTGAGGAGAGATGGTAATGATTTGACCCCCCCACACACACACACGCACACACACACACACACACACACACACACACACACACACACACACACACACGCACACACACACACACACACACACACACACACACACACACACACACACACACACACACACACACACACACACACACACACACATACACGCATGCACACGCATACACACAAACATACGCACACACATGGACCAGCGCTGTCTTCAACCCTTATCAGTGTATTTATGAGATTACAGTAAAATAATTGGCGGTAATGACACACTGATAAACTACCTAAGCAATATAGTTATCAGTTGTGTTAAAAATAATTTTGTGTATCACATTTTAATATCAACATAAAACATCATATTTTTATTTGATGACAGTTTCATGTAAATGTTTTAGTTATATTTGAAGGTTTGCATAAATTATGTATTTTATATTCCAAATTTAAATGCATGGATAAAAAAAGATCACAGTTAACTAATATTGCATATTTTCAAACTGCATACTCGTGTACATTATACTATAATGTACTTGTAATAACAAAAACTATAGTTTTTTTGTGCTAAATACATACTTTGTATTAACTTTTAAACATTTTTGTCTTGTGTACAATGAGTTATTGCTGTTGTGTGCTGTTATATATAAATAAATAAATAAATAAATAAATAAATAAATAAATAAATATATATATATATATATATATATATATATATATATATATGTCTGCATAAATGAGTTGAAATATTTAATGATTCACTGCTTATGTAGATGTTTAACACAGCAAGGAAATTTTCACAGTATGTCTGATAATATTGTTTCTTCTGGAGAAAGTATTATTTGTTTTATTTCAGCAAGAATAAAAGCAGTTTTTAATTTTTTAAACACCATTTTAAGGTCAAAATTATTTGCCCCTTTAAGCTATATATTTTTTTCGATAGTCTCCAGAACAAACCATCGTTATACAATAACCTAATTACCCTAACCTGCCTAGTTAACCTAATTAACCTAGTTAAGCCTTTAAATGTCACTTTAAGCTGTATAGAAGTATCTTAAAAAAATATCAAGTCAAATATTGTTTACTGTCATCATGACAAAGATAAAATAAATCTGTTATTAGAGATGAGTTATTAAAACTATTATGTTTAGAAATGTGTTGAGAAAATCTTCTCTCCATTAAACAGAAATTGGGGAAAAAAATAAACAGGGGGGCTAACAATTCAGGGGGCTATATATATATATATATATATATATATATATATATATATATATATATATATATATATATATATATATATATATATATATATATATATAATATTACTTTAAATGAGAGATTTGTGACAGGTGTACTATATATATACCTCAGTCCTAAATGAGAGGGTTTTTTTTCTGTTGCAGGGGACATTGTAAATGCCCAGAGATACCAGCTTTTACCAGATTATATTTATATGATAATTTTCCTTTAAACCCATCTCTATCTGAGTGAGTGAGTGATTAAATGTTGAATGTGATGAGTTTTCAACAATACTAAATTGAAACTTTATTTTTTTTACATGGTTTAATATTTTTTTGTTATTAAAATTGAAGTTCCTGTTTTAAAGCTTACAGATAGATGGCTAATTTGTATGTCATTGACACTTTTGGCACTTTTTTGGAGTATTTTCATAAGTTTTGTTTTTTCCTGTAAATGATTCAATAAATACCGTACCGTGACATTCATACCGAGGTATTACCGTACCGTGAAATTCTGATACCGTTACATCCCTAATATATATATATATATATATATAGTACACCTGTCACAAATCTCTCATTTAAAGTAATATTTTTAATAGGAAGCTATACAATATTATATTTGTGCATATCCATTAGATAAGTCAGTACTGAAGCCAAATCTGGAGCTTATCTGACAAAATAACTTTCGGTAATGGTCCAATAACTAGTTCATCCAAATTTATGTTATAGAAAAATATAAAAGAGGAAAAAAAATCAAGAGAAGCAAAAAATTGAAAAATGTATTTAAAATTTTGCAGGTTGTAATAATTTTTTTTTCAATATTTTGCATGAATTTAATTGTATTATCTTTCATTTTCTAAATGTATTTGGTGACAAACATATTATTTTAATAAATATATCTGTTTAATAAATCTGTTTTGTTTAAATTCACCAAAATACTTTGCCTATATTCACAGAGAAATGGATAAAAAATATTCATTTTCAAAATGGGGAGTAATCAATTATGCTGAGCACTGCAGTTCCATGTACATTTTGGATTATATGTTAATATTTGCATAAACTAGATATTCAATATTAAACTTTTAGACAACAGTCTTGTATGCCTTAGCAAGATTTATAGCAATTATTTGTGTTATGATTTATTTGTTAAATGAATCATATAGTTGTGCCAGCAGCACAAGACATTAAGCAAGACCTTAATTAAAATCTGAATTTCTTTTTGCCAATAACTAACTTGAATGAACAAATCAATACAAACACACCAAAATAAATCATTAGCTCATAAAGTGGATCTGAAGACTTGAAAGCAGCAACACACACACACACACACACACACACACACACACACACACACACACACACACACACACACACACACACACACCTTTCAAAACCAATTTGACGTCAGTATGAACAAAAACACAATGAAGATGACTGAAGAAGACGCATGTAATTTAAAGTAAACATACACACACATACTCTTACCGTTATCGTCACACGAGTCCGACTGAAAGGAGCTCAGCGACTGGACCTCTGAATTGCTGCCCTTGTTACTGCCAGAGAAACATGTGACCTCTTCCAGCAAATCAACTTTACCTAAAACACAGAGATCAGCACGTCAACCAATCACAAGTTACTTTACAATACTGTAAACACAAATGCAAATCTCCAGCCTCTTATTTGTCTTTTTTTTAGCACATTTTCCGCTTTGATTTTTGGCGCTTTTTAATGATGCTTATGCCGAGTTCACACTACACTGAAAAACATTATGTCTGCAAAACTGTTGCAAACAATTTATTAGTGTTGAATTTAAACAAACAAATTAAATTTAATAATGTTCAACTTAATTTGTTTGTTTAAATTCAGCCCAAAAAAAGCAACAACCCCTTAACGTAAAAATTTTTAGTAAATCCAAGGAATCATTTTTGAATAATTTTTTCAGTGTACAGAATTTTTAATAATCATCACATCGCTGTTTATTTCACACTGCATGACTGTATAGGGTGGCGTTCAGTTGCTGTTGTGTTCGCACTGCAAAGTGGATCAGTGACAGGAGGACACACACTTCAGAAACAAATTCCGGCAGCTCTGTTTGACTAGCAAACACACACAAGAAGTGCTAAAGAAAAAGAAAAAAAAACACAAGATTCCATGAAGGAAGTGCTTTGAAATGTGCATTTTTAAATTCAGTGTTTGATGTAATCTTAACTGAAACACGAAGACAGGGTGGGACAGAGTAGCCCCAGCCTTTTTTGAAAAATATCCAATAGCATTTCTTTTTTATCAAAGCGCATCAAATGAAAAGCAAATGAGAAGTGTGTTAAAGGGGGCGGGGCATATCAGACACTATTGACCTTATTTAGCAAGGTGCGCTCAATTTTGCCATTGTTTTAGAACTTCTGATTAAGTTTCCTATAGGAGAAAGGACTAGTAATAATAAATGACAGAAAATGATCAAACTACTTGCTCTACAAACAAGTGTGTTCATGACTATACACAAAAAGTACAATAATATGATCTGAAAATATCAGTTTGAAACATCAAGCAGCATAACTGGTTGTTCTTCAACATTTAAAAGCAAATGGAAGTAAATGAAACTTGAAGTGTCAAGCCAAAATTAATCCAATGACTGCACCTAATCGTACATTAGGAATAGGGACAATAGAGCATTTGATTGGTCAAGATTTTACGAGAAACCTAAGTATGAAGTGATGTAAAAAATGACCCATTTAGGCGGATGTGACAAACTGCAAGCTTTACTAATACTAATAATTCCTTAGATTCATATAGTGTTTTTTTTCTGGACACTTAAAGTGCTTTACACATTTTTCATGGGAAATCTCCTCATCCACCACCAGTGTGCATCATCAACTGGAATGAGGCGGTGGCAACCATATTGTGCTAGACCACACACCAGCTGATTGGTAGACAGAGCGATGAAGCCAATTATGATATGGGGATGGTTAGGAAGCCATGATGGAGAGAGGTTCGTGGGCAAATTTGGCCAGGATGCCGGGGTTAAACCCCTACTCTTTTTTTAAGGACATCCTGGAATCAGTCAGGATTTATTATCGCATCCGAAAGACGACGCTCACTGAGCAGTATAGAGTCCCCATCAATATACTGGGGCATTAGGACCCACACAGATCGCAGGTTGAGTGCTCACAGAGGGCCTGACTACCACTTGCGGCAGCAACCTAGTTTTTCTATTTAACCCTTGCAACTGTGGTCTCCCATCAGCCCTGCTCAGCTTCAGTGGCCAACTATGTGAGAGTTACAGAGAGCTAGCTGCCAGCTAAGTTTAAATGTTTATGTCTTGATTTTGTCACTGTTTTGGAGCACACTAGCTTATTCATTTATTTTCCATCGGCTTAGTCTCTATTTCAGAGATTGCCACAGCAGAATGAACCGGTAATAATTCTGGGATACGTTTTATGCAGTGGATGCCATTCATTCACACACACTCTCATAAACTATGGCCAATTTATCAATTTCACCTATAGTGCATGTGATTGGACTGTGGGGGAAACCGGAGCACCCAGAGGAAACCCACGCCAACACAGAACATGCAAACTCCACACAGAAATGCCCAGTGATACAGCCGGGACTCGAACCAGCAAGCTTCTGTGCGGCAACAGTGCTAACCACTAAGCAACCGTGCCATCCAACACTAGCTTATTGATAACCTTAACACTAACATACTGTTACTAACATCTAATAAACACTTTACTTTAATCTCACAGGAACTTCAATCATTTGCTATAGCCCAATGGTTATACGTTTCTAGCTTTCTACAAAATAAACTCAAAGGTTTGAAACAAGTAAGGGGTAAGCAATGACAAAATGTTCATTTTTGCATGAATTATCCCTTTAAACCCGTCTTAAGCACCCCAATAACAAAAAAGAAAATTCCTGGAGCCGCCACTAATGGCGTTTATAACAGCTGCGTATAATGGCCTCAGTCTGTATTTCACAGGTGGAGATTTAGAAGAGCTGAAAGGGTTTGAATGGCGGACAGTGTAAAAAAAAAAAAGAAAAAAATGAGAAGATGAAAAATGAAGTGATTATAGGCTGTTAAAAAGCCTCGGAGGATTCAGATGCGGAGGAATTTAATGCTTTCGCCATCAGCTTCTCACTAAATGGACCCAATATACATACTTTTATAACTGCTTTCCTCAGGAGTTATCGATGGGAAGATTTATATGCAGGGAAATGTTGATTTCTTTTACTGTGACTTTTTCCTTTGTTTTGATTCTCAAAAGCAATCCCAACAGGCCGCTTATTGATCGCCTGATGTATAATGCTTTCGAAAATGGCAACAGATGGTGAAAAAATGCAAGTTGGGATCTTTTATTTGGTTCTTAAAGGGATAGTTTAGTTGAAAATCAAGATTTGATGTTTACTTATTCACCATCAGGCCATCTGAGATGACCTTAGCTGACCTTTGTAAAACAATCCAAGTAAACTGAATAAAGCTGAAGGAAAATGAATAAACAAATAAGTTTTAATAACTGATTTCTAATAAGTAATTTATTATTTTCAACCATGATCACAGCACATGCTATTTTACTTGTTATTTCCAAGCTTGTATGACCATTATACATCCCAAAGCTGTACTTTAGAGCAAATAAGCTATTATCTATTGAGATCTACGACCGCTTTTATAGATAATGGTCTTCTAAATTTGATTAGATGTTGGCCAGATGGTCTCTTGGTCATGAAGAAGCTGTCAGGTGGACGGTAATCAAAAGTCTCCCTGAACAGCAGAAGCTTGCTTTCAGCAGAGATAAAATTGGGTTCATTTCTTATGAAGAAGAACATTAGAGATACTGAGATACACAGTCTCACTCTGTCAAGAGTAAAACAGGCTTTATCTAGGAGAAAATATTCACAAAAACATCTGCTGCAAGTCACCTTGGATAAGAACAAAGCACAAACAAAGAAATAAAGAAAAACTAAAGGGAACACAACAAATAGAGCAACAACAACAAACCTGGAATGCATAAATAAAAAAAAGAACAAACAAAATGCAAAAACAGATAGACCAAAACCAAAAATGCTGGATGCAATTGGTCGGTTAATTATTTATTATTATATGGCATAATATAAAGACTTTTATATTAAATAAATTAATTTTATATCAATTAAAAACTAACTAACTAACTAACTAACTAACTAACTAACTAACAAACTAACTAACTGTGTTTTTCCTGTGATGTACAGTTGATTTTATCATCATCAGTTTTTAGTGCAATATGTCCCCTGAAATAGTCCTCAGACAGGTGAATTAATAAAAAAAAATTAAATACAGAACATTATTAAATATGCACCGAAATGAAAATTTACAGCCGAACCCAAAACTTCTGGATGTACTTCGTTGGTTAATTATTTATTATTTTATTAAATAATATGAAGACTTTTTAGAATTTAACTCGATAACAAATTATACATTAAAAAAACACTCCCATAACCACTTTTTATTGACATTAAAACTTTGGGCAGTCATGGTCCAAAGGTCAGAGATAAATGTGTCTGGTTAATAAATAAAAAGTTTTTTTTTTACAATTTAATGAGACTTAACGAGTCGAGAGTTGTCATTTTGCAGCAACAAATCTGCCCTTGCATGTCCAATGACATGAATGAGTTTCATAGCGCAGAGCTTTCTGTGTCCAGTGTGAAAGATGCTTTAGACCACGCAGTGACTAAAGTAAAACTTTTTTGGGTCATATTTTTGGCTGTATTTTCTTTTGAACGAAAACCGAAAATGATCATTTCGGCAGATAATTTCCAAAAATTCAATTCCTCACTATAGTAACTAGCTAACTAACTAACTATCTACTACTGTTCTTCCTGTGATGTACAGTTGATATTATCATTATCTGTTTTTAGTGTCATATGTCACTGAAATTGTCCTCAGACAGGTGGATGCACATTGTCAGTTAATTATTTATTATTTAATTAAATAATATATAAAGACTTTTTAGAATTTAACTCAATAACATGTTATAAGGTAAAAACCCACACACCCATAACCACAGTAAAATGTTGGGCAGCCATTGCCTAAAGGTCAGAGATAAAAGTCTCTGCTAAATAAACAAAAATGTTTTTTTATTTTGTATTTAATGAAACCAAACAAGTGGAGAGGTGTAATTTTGTAGCAACAAATCTGCCGTTGTGCGTCCATTGAAATGAATGAGTTTCATAGCGCAGAGCTGTCTGTGTCCAGTGTGAAAGACACTTCAGACCACACATCGACTAGAGTAAAACAGTGCGTTGAACCAACCAACCAACCAAGCTAACTAACTAACTAACTAACTGAGTTGTGTTCATAAGAAATGATTTGTATTAAATAATTTGATGCTTAAAGGGGACCGGTTTATGCTCCTTTTTACAAGATGCAAGTCTCACTCCCTGATGTAAGTGTGCATCTGACGATTCAGCTCAAAATACAACACAAATATTGTTTTATGAGTCTTTGAAACTGCCTCTTTTAGGCTTTGATCTGACTTGTGTCATTTTTTGACTTACTTTAAATTCAAATAAGATTGTGCTCTTTTTAAAAGGGGGTGCAGCTCTAAACACCAGCGAGTCAGCAT